GTCTTCAGTCTCGCCGTTCTTCGTCTGTTTCCGTCGCCGTTCTTCACTTCGTTATCTGACGTTCCTCGGTCTCGTTCTTCTTGATTGCAGCCCAAGTCGCAACCCGCCGCCAAGTCCGCTCAGACCACCGGCGCCGTCAGCGTCATCACCGTCTCACCTGACGTGGAAGAAGTGATCCCGAGTGACGTGGACATCGAAGAGCCGCGCCACGTGCACACCATGACCGCCGAGCTGACGGCTGTCAGCGAGGAGGCGAGCGTTCTCTCCACAATCACCGCCATCAACGCCGCCGCCGCCGCCGCCGCCGCCGCCGCCGCCGCCGCTTCCGTCAAGAGGGAAGCGTGGTGGGACATCGACGCTGCCGACAAGAGCAACCCTCTTGCCGAGACGACTTATGTCGCGGATATCTACAACTTCTACAGGCGGACGGAACCGGAAGGCATGGTGGCTCCGGATTACATGACCCGTCAGAGCGACATCAACGGCACGATGCGCGCGATTCTCGTCGACTGGCTGATTGAGGTCCACCTCAAGTTCAAGCTGATGCCGGAGACGCTTTTCCTCGCTATAAGCGTCATCGATAGGTACCTGGCGGTGACGCCCGTTCCCCGTCGTAATCTTCAGCTGGTGGGGATCACGGCGATGCTGATCGCCTCTAAGTACGAGGAGATCTGGGCTCCAGAGGTCGGCGATTTCGTGTATATCTGCGATAGCGCCTACACGCGCCAGGACGTGTTGAAGATGGAGAAGGATATGCTCAACACGCTGCAGTTCAAGCTGACAATCCCCACCTCGTACGTCTTCGCCGCGCGATTCCTCAAGGCCGCGACTGCCGCCGCTAACGCCGCTGCTGCCGCCGGTGCTGGTGCTGACAAGGCGGTGACCGTTGGAGCGGACACGCGCGTTCACGCGCTCGCGTGGTTCCTTCTCGAGCTGACCCTGCCTGAACACTCCATGATCAAATTCTCCCCGTCGCACGTGGCTGCTGCTTCGGTCTACGCCGCGCTGCTGACGGCCCACCATGCTAACAAGACAGCCACGGGAGCAGGCTCGGCAGGCGCCTGTGAGGTCTGGGGCCCCGGCATGGCGTGGCTTACCGGATACGACGAGGCGACGCTGTGGCCGTGCGTGGAGCAGCTTGTGGCTCTGCACGGGAAGGCAGGCACGGGAAACCTCGCGGCGGTGCACAAGAAGTACTCGCGGAAGCAGTTCGAGGAGGTGGCGGAGATCCCTGCTGTTCCTCACCTGCCCGAGAATCCCCCCCGTGCCGCCGTTGCACATAAGCTGACGAAGTCGACATCCTGCTTGTCGACGGCCAACTCGTCCGTTCCAGCGGCTGGCAGGAAGTGAAAGGAGGAGGATGGATGTACCGTCGGAAGAGCCGCACCGAGCTAGTATCTGGTTGCTTAGAGCTCATTGCGCAGGGTCATCTCGCCCTGTTTTTGCTTTCCTGATCGTGATGAGGGCTCCCTCTGCCCTTTTTAGGAGTTTTTTTCTCGCCTAGCTAGTTTTCGCAACTAGCTTGTTATAGGAGGGGCTCTCTCGGCCTAGACAAAGTAAGGACTTGCTTTCTTAGGATGTGTACAGCGGTCTTAGCAATAGTAACTTGCGTTTGAGCATGAAGTGTGACAATGACAAGCAAGAAGAATCACATGAGAAAGGCATACATAATGACGACATCGTGAGTGAGCAACAGCCTGATTCCAGTGCCCCTTATTCCGTACAATCACCTTCCTTCACTTCTTCTCCCAGCCTTCCGAACCTTAGTCTGTGGGTTACGCATCAATTTCCTCTGATAGTGGTGCTGGATAAGTGGCGGCTTCCAGGAGCTTCTTCCCCTTGTACTTCTCATACACTGCACCACTGCGACTCGCCAAAGCTTTCTTGTATATGTCTAGCAACAGCCCCACACAGTGCCAAAGGTCCTGAGCTTCAAAACCAGTCAAGTCAGCCATGCGTGATCCCCAAATTTCACCTTCATTGGTTGGCCTCCTGTGCCCGATGATTTGGTTGCTCTCCGATTCAGCTGACTTGGCCACCTTGCCCCTTTGATAAGCTCCAAGCAGAGCAGTGTATACTGCTGCTGCAGCAAGATGGGACGGACTGAACTGAACCATGACGATTTCTGGAATCGTCAGCTCCAGAAGGTACCATGCAAAGGCATGCACCCGACTGCTGGTTCCCTTTGACACTTCAATGCTCCACACATTCGAAACTGCATTTGAAGCTGTGGCGGCGTCAGCTGCAGCCTTGGCGAACTTTAGGTAACGAACAGCGAACATGTAGCATGTTGGGATGCTCAGCTTGAATGATATCTTGTTCAATATCTTCTTCTCCATCATCCGTATCTGTCCTCGCGTGTAGGCGCCAGATCCAATATCTTCGATTTCAGCAACAAGAGGAGCATAAATCTCCTCGTATTTCGCAGCAACCAAGATGCATGTTGCTCCAAGAAGCTGAATGTGTTTCTTAGGTACATGAGTGGCAGCGAGATATCGGTCGAAGATGTTGACAGCCAAAAAAAGAGTTTCTGGCATCAGATTATAAGATCCATGGACCTGTAAAGCGATTTTAAGGAGTCAGAAAGGTAAGCTCGAAGGTAACGGAAGCGTAGGGGACGACAATGGCTTACCTGAACCACCCAATCTAGCACAAGGCCTCGCATGCGACTGTCGACTTCAGATTGAGCAGACATGTAAGTGGGGCATACCATTCCCTCCTTCTGTAAAATAGAAGCTCCAAGAAGTTAACCTTCGAGTTGAGCATCCAAAGAAAGATATCAGAAACTGACCTCCGTCATCTTGTAATGGTTGTATATGTCAGCGGCGTAAGTTGTCTCAGCAAGCGGATTCTCACAGTCTTGAGCATCGACATCCCAACAAGACTCCACTTTGACTTCCAGAGTATTCTCAATGAGCTGCTTCGTCATGGTCAAGATGTGCCTCCCTGGACCAGCGTTGCTCCCCGCACCATGACCAGCACTCTCCCTTCGCTGAAAAACATATTGCGTCACTTCGTTTGTTGCTTTCTCATGATTGAATGGGAGTTGTGTCACCGTCTGACTGTCCAAATCAGTTGCCTTCACGCTGCTAGATTCAGTAGTAATAAGATGATCAGCGACATTGTCCTCATGAACCGGTGCAGTAACGTGATCCAGGACTTCTTTGTCGTGAACAGCAGCAGTCGAATGATCCGCGACATTCTCCTCATGGATAGCCGCAGAAACGTCATCAGCGACACCTTTATCATGAACAGCAGCTGCGAGATGATCAGCGACCTTCACTTCATGGATAGCTGCAGCGACGTGATCAGTGCGGTCTTTGTCATGAACAGCAGCAGTGAGATTATCAGCTAGTCCAATGTCTTCATTAACAGGTGCAGTAAGGTGATCGGCGACAACTCCATCATCAGTAATCGCTGCTGGAGCGACTTCAGGATGATCACTGATGGCAGTCGTTGAAGACCTTCGACTGACAGTCGCGTTGCTGGAACGAGCGGTAACAGGAGCAGAACTGCTGCTGCGTCGCGGTACATTGCTCCGTGTGGTAGGAGGACGTGTGTTCTCGAAGAGACCTTTAGAAGTTCCAGCCGGGCGCCATGCCGGAGTAGGTGGTTTTGTTGGCCGAGCCTGTACATTTGTCACTAGTATCAGTAACGATCAGAAATGGCATTCCTCATGCCTCTTTAATCACGTTTCGAGCACACCTGAGGAGCCGGCTTCTTTAATGCAGCTTTTGGAACATCCCCTACTTTTACAGGAGCTTTGTCACTGAAACATGAAACGCAGAGTCAGTGATGTCTCTCGACGAACTTTGCTGTTGACGCATTTCTTTGTCTTACCGCTCGGAGACCAAGGCCTTGGTGGTATTCGTGACATGACGAAGCGAAGGACGAGAACTTTCGTTCTTACTCCGTACAACGTTCGTCTTCGTGGCTGGATTTCAGTCACGCGGTTTAGTATCGTATAACATAGAAAATGGATCAATACGAACGTTCTGACAATACTACCCTTCCCTGCAGCGAGTACAGCGTTTTCGTTCTGGGAAGCCACTGGACGAATCCGTGTTTCCCCTCGACGGCTCTGCAAGCAGCGGTAGATCGTTATGGAGCTTCCAGAATGAAGAGACGTCGTTAAAATGCAACTCGATCTCACCTGCGTTGCGAGAGGCGCCATGATTCTCGACGCTACCGTCTTTCTGAATCCTGATTCTAGACAAACCTCTGGCAGATACCAACGCAAATTTGTAGGCTCGCGGAGTTTGAATAATGCAGCAGATACATTCGTACACTCTGTACAATAACGCCGCAATGGCTAAACCATTTGCCCAGGGTACAATATTCAGATACGGTAGTGCAATTTTGATCCTCATACACTATAACATACATGGCATGCCATTTTTATTGTCATGTCATATTACGTTAAAATGATTACGTGAATGAGGTTAATTCACCACCCAGAATGAGGACAACTAGTAACAACCTACATCTTGGTATCTCTTAATCAGCATTATATCAAGCTGCATGAACCACCGACTGGCAAACAGCTAGCATTATTGCGGGACTCTCCCTGAATCAACCACCGTTTTCTTTGCCGTGCTGATGATATGGTACATAGCAGTTACCGCTGCCTTGTTTTCCGCCCACCATGTTTCTGCTTGCTTCTCCATGAAAACCTTGCGGCTACGGATGAGCATCCACAACACAAGCAAAACAAAGAAGCTTATTATTGAAAAAAATTACAGATTGTTTGGAAATGAAGAAGGATGATTGTTTGGGTATGACAAAGGATGAGAGGAAAAGTTTCAGTGGAGAGACTACAAGGCACATAGGGAAGGAATGCTGAGAAGGTGGGAAGATGATGTGGGGGTCGTGGGGGTGGGGCGGAGGGTGGAGAGTACTGACAAAAAAGGCACAAAAAACCAGGGCAGAGCTGCGAGGTTGGGATCGAGGAAGCAGGGATGAGAAGACGGAGGCACCAGCAACGCAACTAAAGCAACGGTTTACCTGAACCTGATTCGACGAAGCTCAGTCCCTTCCCCAGGCAGCTTTGCCAGAGTCACATACACCCCAGGCTCTGGCTGCTCCACCCACTCCCCATCTCCCAGCTTCCTGCTCCTTTGCTTCCTCTCATGTCTCTCCTCCCTGCTTGCACTCTCCTCCCTGCTTGCACTCTCCTCCCTGCTTGCACTCTCTTCCCGCCCACTATTCTCCTCCCCTCGAGCACTCTCCTCCTTGTATCCTCCCCCCTCCCCAGTCACATTCACCTCCCTCCCAGCACTCTCCTCACCCCCAGCATCTTCCCAATCACCACTCCCTGTCTCGCCCCGGCTCATAGCACGTGGCACATACTGCCAGCCACAGCTCCCATCCTCCTCACCTGCCCCCGCACGGTCCTCCACACCCTCCACACCCGTCACAACATCTCCATACTGCCGCTGGCCTGGCACATACCCCCATTGTCCAGCGGATTTTGTACCACCTTCCTCTGAATACTCCACAGAATAATTCTCCTCTGGATTCGCTTCTGCAGCGTTCCCATCCAGATCCGATGCTGCAAGAAGCGTACCAGATCCATCATTCACAACACTTCCAAACGAAGCTTCGCCTGGAGCCCCACTTCCTTCTCGCACTGCCCCACTCCCTTCCAATCCATCAGGACACAGTGGCCCGTTCCCCCTCTCCTCTCTATCCACCACAGCAACAGCAGCAGCACTGTCCATGCCCGCACCCCTATCTACTGCGAATCTGCTGGCCGGTCGCTGTGGTCTGGGGGTCATTTCACAGATCCCGTTCCACACAGGTGGAATCCCAATGCCAGTCACCTTCTTAGAGACAACAATAGTTCCCCTTTCAGCAACCCCTTTCCGGGAAGCAGCATCAGCGCCCACCTGCTTGCTCGCAGCTCCCATCCCTTCCATCCCATCCCTCCGTTCCTCCGCCTCTCCTTCCCCTGCTTCCTCCTTACCCTCCTCCTCACCACAGACTCCCATATCTGGCTCCCTTGCCCCCTCCGAACCTTCCCTACAACCACCAGCAAACCTCTCCTCTGCCTCCTCATCCTCCCCTTCAGCCACATCAGCTAAAGCATCGCCATGCAGATTCCCCTCTTCTGCTGCAGCGCAAACAGAAAGCCCCTGCCCTCCGCTCCCCACAGATGCCTCAGAAGAGACCCCCAGGCCTGTCTTCCCAGCGCCTCTATTCACCTGCCCGAACCACTGCGATCTGGGGGAGTCAATGTTTTCATCTGACCCGCCCGCAGGACTCCAAGGCATGCCCACTGCGCTTCGAAACGACCAAGACTTGTTGGATTTTCTGGCGGGTTTAGAGATGTTTGAGGAGTCTGAAGGAGGAGGCATGGACTGAGAAGAAAGGTATGACGATTCTGAAGGAATCTCGTTCTCGCTCTCCCCATCCCCGTCTCCTCGCTGCTTTTGTGCTTCATCTTTCTGAACCATCTCCTCCTGAATTGCCCCTTTCAGCACAAGTCGATTAATTTGATCCCCTTCAACATCTGCAGCTAAGCCCTTCAGCATACTGCCTTCCAGTTTGCCGGATGCTTCTGCTGCTTCTGCTGCTACTGCTGCTTCTGCTCTTTTGGCTGCTACTTCTTCAGGCACCTCTGCTTCTACTGCTGCTTCTGCTGCTACTGCTGCTTCTGCTCTTTTGGCTGCTACTTCTTCAGGCACCTCTGCTTCTACTGCTGCTTCTGCTGCTACTGCTGCTTCTGCTCTTTTGGCTGCTACTTCTTCAGGCACCTCTGCTTCTACTGCTGCTTCTGCCACGTCTTGTGCACCTTCCCATCCCTCAGAAGATTCCCGCAACTCTTCTTCCACCCGCAGCGCGGCCAACGCAGCCGCAGCTGCTGCAACGGACTCACCGTCCCTCCCAGCTATCCCTGCTGCTGCAGCTGCAGCTGCGGCGGCAGCAGCGGCACCTGGAGGCGATTTGGATCTGGTCCAGTCTAAGGAACTCCAGGAGTTGAAGGAGAAATTGGCTGTTAGTGGCTGTAGCCCTGCTGCTGCAGCAGCAGCTGCTGCTGCTGCTGTGCGTGGAGTGACCATGCGTTTCAACAATCTGGAGTTCTTGCTACCGCCGCCGCCACCGCCACCGCCACCGCCACCGCCACCGCCACCACTGCCGTCGTTGCTTCTGCTGCTGCCGCCGCCGCCGCCGCCGCCGCCGCCGCCGCCGCCGCCGCTGCTGCTGCCTCCGCTTACCCTTCCCTGGAAGCTGCCACTGCCTGTGCTGCTGCTACCGGCACACTCACTGTCCGTACCCACACCTGTGCTCGTGCTTGTATCTGTACTTGTGCTTGAAACGGATGTGCTATTATTGGTATTCAGTGCAGCCCCTATGCTGCTGCCATTGGCACCTCCCATATCAGTGGATGGAGCAGTGCCACTAGTAGCACCCACCCAATCAGCCCCACCTGGTACCTCCCCGCGTGCCTCTTCCCCACACAACCCCTCCCCACATGTATCCTCCCCACGTGCCCCCTCCCCACGTGCCCCCTCCCCACGTGCCCCCTCCCCACGTGCCCCCTCCCCACGTGCCCCCTCCCCACATGGCCCCCCTTCAGCTACTGCCTGTCCTGGAGCCAACACAGCGGCAGTGCTGGTAACTTGTTGTGGAGGGAGCTCCGTTAGGGTTGGAGGGATGGAGGTGGAGGAGAGGAGCGGGCCTGTGTAGACCACGGCAGCTGGCAGGGAGGTCACTGCGAGGCTGACTTGCTTGGTGCTGCCCTCAGGGAGAGCTTGTGTGAGCGAGGTGAGCTGTGTATGGATGGGGGGCAGGGAGAAAAAGAAGTGGGGGGAGGGAGAAGAGAAAGGGGGAGAAGAGGGACAGGAGTGAAGAGGGGGGGGAGGGGGGAAAGGGAGGGGGATGAGAATGGGGAAGAGGAGCGGGCCTGTGTAGGCCACAGCAGCTGGCAGGGAGGTCACTGCGAGGCTGACTTGCTTGGTGCTGCCCTCAGGGAGATCTTGAGTGAGAGTGGTGAGCTGTGTATGGGTGGAAGGGAGGTGGGGGGAGGAGGTGTAAACAGAGGGAGGGGGTGGAAGAGGGAGGGGGAAGAAGAGGGAGGGGGGATGAAAGGGAGAGTGAGAGGTGGAGGACAGAAATAGTCAGCAGAACGAGATGATGCTGATGGGGAGGAGGCGCAAGGCACACTGGCCTGCTGCATGTTTGCGAGCGATGCCAGGAGCACGAATATAAGGTGCAGAATCAGGTACAGGAATATTTAGAAACAGACTAAAGGGTCACACCTGCTGAGAGAGCAGTTGGATGACGTCACGAGCGCCAGCAGCACGAGCAGCAGCCCTGCTGGCCGCTGAGAAGGCTGCCTCCACCTGCTTGCTCGCTAGCCGCCTCTCCGCCTGCCGCTCCCTCTCCACCTCCGCACTCCTAGCTTTCACCACTCGTAGCTGGAGGGAGGCAAGGGGGAAGAAAGGGCTTGTAAGAGCCAGCAGTACGAGCAGTGGTCTTGCTGGCAGCAGCAAGTGCTGCCTCTACCTGCTTGCTCGCTAGCCGCCTCTCTGCCTGCCGCTCCCTCTCCACCTCCGCACTCCTCGCTTTCACCACTCGTAGCTGGAGGGAGGCAAGGGGGAAGAAAGGGCTTGTAAGAGCCAGCAGTACGAGCAGTGGTCTTGCTGGCAGCAGCAAGTGCTGCCTCCACCTGCTTCCTCGCTAGATGCCTTTCTGCCTGCCGCTCCCTCTCCACCTCCGCACTTCTTGCTTGCACGGCTTGTAGCTGGTGGTTGGGGCAGAGGAGCGAAGAGATGGAAACAAAGGGTTACGGAAAAGAAAAGAAAAAACAAAACAGATTATAGTCACAAATGACATGCATATGCACATGCACACATCACATGCACACATCACATGTGATATGCATGCACACGTCGCACACACGTGTCTCTTTTTCAGCTTGCACACGTGTCTTCTTTTCAGATTGTGATGCTATCTGCAACATTGTTCTCCCCTTCTGCGGTTACTGATCCTGAGCTCTACCATGCTATTGCGCACCTCTTCTCGCAGTCTCTGAATCTCCTTGTCTGCCTCCTCCTTCGCCTTTCTCCACCGCGCCTCCCCGCTCCCCACCGCACCCCCCTGCTGCCTCCAATCCCAAGGATCCACTCCCACTCCACCAATCACAGGGAAACCACCAGCAGCAGCACCTCTACCCACACCACCGCCAGCAGCACTGCTACCAGCTATCATAGCTGCAGCGGCAGCAGCAGCAGCAGCAGCAACCTGAGCTCCCGTAGGACTTGCCGCTCTCCCCGCCCCCAACGGACTATTACTCGACTGCCACATCAGCGGACTGGACGGCCGCCGGCCCGAGCCTATCACCAAGCCTGCCACCGAGCCTCGGAGGGAGATGGTCCGGGAGGCCCGGGGCGGAGGCCCGGAGTCTTCCGGGAGGTTCGGGGAGAGGGAGTGGGAGGAATGGCGGGAAGGGAGAGTGGGAGGGGTGGTGGTGGTAGCGCTGTTGGGTGCAAGAGTGGACGAGGGTGTAGGGCTGGCGATACTGGTTGAGAGAGACGCACTGGTTTGGGAGAAGAGCCAAGAGGTAGTAGAGGAGGGGGAAGACGAGGAGGAAGAAGAGGAGGAGGAAGCCTGAGAGAGGAAGCCGGAGGGGAGGATGGGGAGGGACGAGGAGACGGAGTTGTTAGGGGACGGGGCGGCATGTTGGGGCTGAGGGGGTGGAGATCTACGAAGGCTGGCCTGCTGCCCTGCCTGTTGCTGTTGCTGTTGTTGTGCCTGCGTATGGGGGTACTGGGGATACTGGTAAGTCATGGGAGCGAAGGCTTGACTTGAAACGAGGGAGGCGAATAGAGGAGGCGGAGAGACCGGCCCCCACATGGGGAGGGGCAGTGCTGACCCCCCATCATGGCTGCGTGCATGCACATGCGCAATCTCTGCGGTGTTTCCAGGAGAGTTTCCAGGAGTAATCCCAGGTGTTCCTGAGAATGACCCTGCCTTGGCCCTACTAGTGCTGCTTCTCATCCCTGCTGCTCCTGGGCCTATAGAGTTTCCAGATATAGCACTGTTGCTGCCGAGGGATAAAAAGTTCCCACCAGCAGCAGTAGCAGCAGCAGCACCACCACCAGCACTACTACCACGATTACCAGCAGCAGCACTACCGCCACTGCTGCTGGTGAACAGCCCAGGCTTACCCCCTCCCCCTGCTCCTCCTCCGCCTCCTCCGCCGCCGCTCCCCATGCCTCCCAGACTGCCGCTGCTGCTGATACTGCTGCTGCTGCTGCCGGTGCTGCTAGTGCTCTTCAAATTGATGCTGCTGCTGGTACTGATACTATTAGAACCCTTACTCAACTTGCCGCTACTGCTGCTGATGGTACTGCTAGTACTGCCGTTGCTGCTGGCTGAAGCCTTACTCATCTTGTTAAAGCACGTGTCGCACACACGGTAAGGACGGGTGGGAGTCGGAGCCATGGCTGCCCCTAGCAGTTTCCGGGGGCTGCAGGCGTGGCAGACGGGGAGGGAGCAGTTGTAGCAGTGGTGGCGGATGCGGGCAAAGGAGAAGGCCTGGCGGCAGAGTGTGCAGTGGTGGTGGTCTGAGCCCTGTGCATGCCTGTGCTGACACACCACTGCTGTGCTGGCTGGCCCACAGGACACCTGAGGTGGAGAAGCGACAGAGAGGGGCAGATAGGGAGCGTGAGGAGAGGTGGAAACAGCAGCGTGCAGTGGTGGTGGTCTGAGCCCTGTGCGTGCTGATGCTGACACATCACCGCTGTGCTGGCTGGCCCGCAGGATGCCTGCAGTGGAGAACAGAGAGGGAGTGATTGAGAGGAGTGTGATTGTAATAGAGGGGGTGAGTGAGAGGAATGTGAATGTAATAGAGGGAGTCATTGAGAGGAATGTGAATGTAATAGAGGGAGTGATTGAGAGGAGTGTGAATGTAATAGAGCGGGTGAGTGAGAGGAATGTGAATGTAATAGAGGGAGTGATTGAGAGGAATGTGAATGTAATAGAGGGAGTGATTGAGAGGAATGTGAATGTAATAGAGGGAGTGATTGAGAGGAATGTGAATGTAATAGAGGGAGTGATTGAGAGGAATGTGAATGTAGTAGAGGGAGTGATTGAGACGAATGTGAATGTAATCGAGGGAGTGAATGAGAGGAATGTGAATGTAATAGAGGGAGTGATAGTGAGAGAGGAGAGGGAGAGAGAGAGTGACAGAGATATGAGCTCGTGATGCTGGTTCCAAAATAGGGCCCATGCTCCATGCCCCATCCTCCATGCGCCATCCTCCATGCGCCATCCTCCATGCGCCATCCTCCATGCGCCATCCTCCATGCGCCATGCTCCATGCGCCATCCTCCATGCGCCATCCTCCATGCACCATCCTCCATGCGCCATCCTCCATGCCCCATCCTCCATGCCCCATCCTCCATGCCCCATCCTCCATGCGCCATGCTCCATGCGCCATCCTCCATGCGCCATCCTCCATGCGCCATCCTCCATGCGCCATCCTCCATGCGCCATCCTCCATGCGCCATCCTCCATGCCCCATCCTCCATGCGCCATCCTCCATGCCCCATCCTCCATGCGCCATCCTCCATGCGCCATCCTCCATGCGCCATGCTCCACCCTCCATCCATACCCCACCCTCATGAACCCCTTACAAAATACCCCTCCTCCACGCCCAATTCCCCATACCCCACAGACTCACCGACAGCCCGCGCTGGTCTTTGATGGCTTCGACCCTCGTGGGGACCTCTCTGTCCCCATGCCCCAACTGCCCGTGACTGTCCTATCAAGCCATCCCTTCCATCCTCATGATTCACCATTCACACCATCCGTGCCCCCCCACCCTCCATGCCTTACTGACTCACCGACAGCACACGCTGATCTTTGATGGCTTCAACCCTCGTGGGGGTCTCCTTGTCCCGCACGTCTCCATGCCCCAACTGGCCGTGACTGCCCTGGCCCCAAGTGAAGAGGTCTGATGCTGCAGTGAGGGCTGCTGTGTGGTGGGTGCCGCATGCAATCTGCTCGATCTGCTTAAATAGTGGGGGTCCAGACACAAGGGCTGGAAAGGGCAACGGGACAAGAGGGGAAAAGGGTGTCAAGAGGATATCTGACGCTGCAGTGAGGGCTGCTGTGTGGTGGGTGCCGCATGCAATCTGCTCGATCTGCTTAAATAGTGGGGGTCCAGACACAAGGGCTGGAAATGGCAACGGGACAAGAGGGGAAAAGGGTGTGAAGAGGATATCTGACGCTGCAGTGAGGGCTGGTGTGTGGTGGGTGCCGCATGCAATCTGCTCGATCTGCTTAAATAGTGGGGGTCCAGACACAAGGGCTGGAAAGGGCAACGGGACAAGAGGGGAAAAGGGTGTCAAGAGGATATCTGACGCTGCAGTGAGGGCTGCTGTGTGGTGGGTGCCGCATGCAATCTGCTCGATCTGCTTAAATAGTTGGGGTCCAGACACAAGGGCTGGAAAGGGCAACGGGACAAGAGGGGAAAAGGGTGTGAAGAGGATATCTGACGCTGCAGTGAGGGCTGGTGTGTGGTGGGTGCCGCATGCAATCTGCTCGATCTGCTTAAATAGTGGGGGTCCAGACACAAGGGCTGGAAAGGGCAACGGGACAAGAGGGGAAAAGGGTGTCAAGAGGATATCTGACGCTGCAGTGAGGACTGCTGTGTGGTGGGTGCCGCATGCAATCTGCTCGATCTGCTTAAATAGTGGGGGTCCAGACACAAGGGCTGGAAAGGGCAACGGGACAAGAGGGGAAAAGGGTGTCAAGAGGATATCTGACGCTGCAGTGAGGACTGCTGTGTGGTGGGTGCCGCATGCAATCTGCTCGATCTGCTTAAATAGTGGGGGTCCAGACACAAGGGCTGGAAAGGGCAACGGGACAAGAGGGGAAAAGGGTGTCAAGAGGATATCTGACGCTGCAGTGAGGGCTGCTGTGTGGTGGGTGCCGCATGCAATCTGCTTGATCTGCTTAAATAGTGGGGGTCCAGACACAAGGGCTGGAAAGGGCAACGGGACAAGAGGGGAAAAGGGTGTCAAGAGGATATCTGACGCTGCAGTGAGGGCTGCTGTGTGGTGGGTGCCGCATGCTATCTGCTCGGTTTTTTTAAACAGCGGGGGACGGGACAGAAGGGCTGGGAACAGGAGCGAGGGGAGAAGGGAAGACGGGAAAGGAGGCGCTTATGTGACTTCACGAGCTAGCTGGCACGATCTTTTAGGTGCCTAAGAAATTACTACATGGGTCAGCTGCCCAGAGCTTCTGAGGCCAACGCACACACATGGCCTGCTCATGCGATGCCACATGAGTGTGTGCTGTCATCACATGCTGCTATCACCTGGAGTGTGGCCATCCGCTTGGAAGTTCCCCAGCTGATGACCTCATGGCGTACACTTGGCCTGATGGTGTGATGCCTTGCCCATACATGCATGCATGCATACCTTCTCCCTCGCACATGCTACCTACTGGGAGTGTGGCCATCTGCTTGCGGGTTCCCCGGCTGTCCATGAGCTGCTGACCCCATGGTGTACACATGGCCTAGTCAGGTGAAGCTTTGCCCATACAAGTACGCATGCTGCCAACACATGCTACCTACCTGGGGTGTGGCCGTCTGCCTGGGGGTTCCCCAGCTGTCCATGAGCTGCTGACCCCATGGCATACACATGGCCTGATGGCGTGAGCGCTACTGTGATGTCCTGCCCGCAAGCCACCTGCCAGGGGGTGCGAGGGTATGGGTAGCAAGGGAAGGGATGGCAAGGTATGGAAGGGGAAGGGATGGCAGGGTATGGAAGGGGAAGGGATGGCAGGGTATGGAAGGGGAAAGGACAGCAGGGTATCGGGAGCAGGGGCAAGAGATGGCCTCACGGCGTACACATGGCCTGATGGCGTGAGTGCATGCCACCTGCTAAGGGGGTACCAGGGGAATGGGGAGAAGGGTGAGCGATGGGCGGCTGAGGGAGGGATGGCATCACGGCACTGGGAGGGATGGCTGGGGAATAATACCTGAGAGATGTCAACTTGGCTGAGAGCGTCTACTGCCTTGGGCAGCAGCTGCTGCTGCTTGTCGCCATGACCCAGCTTGTACCTATCTCCATCACCCCATGTGTACAGCCTCCCGCCTGCTACACCCCCTGCTACCACGCCCCCTGCCATGCCGACCCCAGCTAATCCACCTGTTCCCCCTGTTCCCGCCCCCGCTGCTGCTACTGTCCCCACTGCTGCTGCAGAATCGCCTTCAATTGTTCCCGCTGAGGGGATCGTTGCAGTGTCACTTGCTGCGGTGGTGCCTGAGCTTGCAGTGCTGGGACCGTGCACGACTGCTGCAGTGTGCCACACGCCGCAGGCAACGCGGGAGACCCGCATGCCTCGAAGCGACTCCACCTCCTTGGGCGATGAGATAATGCTGTAGTGGAGTGTTTGAGGGGGGCAACAGGAGGTAAGGGGGAAAGGGGTGCTTGCAGTGGCGGGGGCGTGCACGACTGCTGCTGTGTGCCACACGCCACAGGCAACGCGGGACACCCACATGTCTTGAAGGGACTCCACCTCCTTGGGCGATGAGATAATGCTGCAGTGGAGGTGAGGGAGAATGGTGGGGGGGAGAGGGAGGTAGGTGTTTGTGGGGAGAATGGGGGATAGATGGGTGTGGGGAACAAATGGGGCGGATGCAGCAGGGATAGAGAGGGGGAGAGACAACAGGGTGGTGTTGGGGCGGGATGGGTATAAGAGGGAGGGAGGAGGGAATGGGAGGGGTGGGAGGGGAGGGAGGCAGGCGAGGGGAGGGGGTGGGTTGGAAATGGGGGTGGGGAGACGTCCTTCTTGTGCAAAGCGATTGCAAGAAGGACTGTTAAAGTTTCCTGTGGGGATAATTTGTCCTAAGAAGCGTCACCAAACAAGTGCTTACTCGCAGTTTCCATGCCCAAGGGCTCCAAACGTGCCGTCTCCGAACGCGAACAGCTGGCCTGTAGCTGCTACAGCCGCCACGTGCCACGGCCCACATGCCACCTGCACCAGATACACCCCGTCCAGGGCTCCCCCCACACGCCTGGGCACCCACTGGGGCATGTCCTCGTATCCGCCCTCCCCCAGAAGGCCCCTGCCCTTGCGGCCGTCCCCCCAGAGAAACACCTCCCCTGCCCTAGAGAGAGCGAGTGTGACGAAACTGCCACAGGCGACCTGCGGGATGGGGAGAGGAATGGGGGAGTGTTTGCTTCACCTCATGAATAAAAAAAACCCCAGAAGGCCCCTGCCCTTGCGGCCGTCCCCCCAGAGAAATTCCTCCCCTGCCTGGAGAGAGCGAGTGTGATGAAACTGCCACAGGCGACCTGCGGGATGGGCGGAGGACGGGAGAGGTGGGGGGGAAGACGGTGGGGAGGATGAGGGGAAGTGGGGGGGAAGACGGGGGAGAGGATGAGAAGAGGACCGGGGGAGTATTCACCCCATTCACACGCCTCACCCCATTCAACCACCTCACCTCACTTCATCCATGGAAACCCCATCTAGCCCCTCCACCAGTATCATGTTCCAAGTCCCTCTCACGCCCCTGACCTGTCCCAGCCCCACCCCCATTCACACCCATCTCACCCCATTCCCTCATTTTCCCCAATTCACTCACCTCATCCATAGGGATACCATCCAAACCCTCCACCAGCTTCGGGTGTTCCAAGTCCCTCTCACGCCCCTGACCCAGCCGCCCCCCTCCCTCCTCCCCCCAGCAGAACACCTCCCCTCGCCTCGTCACCAGCGCTGCATGCCCCTCCCCACATGCCACGTGGCACACATCCAGCACCACTCCTGCATCCAACGGTTTCGGCACCACCGAATCAAATCCAGGGATCGGAATCGCACTGCTCGCCCCACGTTTCCTCAATCCGCCCCCTCCTAACGCCCCATCCCCCAGCCCTTCTCCCCACATAAACAAATCCCCCAGAACCTCGCTCCCGTCGTCCCCTGTACTGCTGCTCGTCGCACTGGGTAAATACCCAGACCCGTCGCTCGACCCACTGTAAAAACTTTTCACGGGCAGCCCGGGGAGCAGTTCGGCACGATCGGCTGACCAAGTAGAGGGAATGACTGTGCTGTGACCTGGGGCCGGTGCTGCTGCGTACGGAAAGTTGGCACTGGCAGGGCTAGAAGAAGTACCAGCATTGGCAGCAGCACTGGTATTTCCTGCAGTGGCAGTGGTGGTGGCTGTAGCAGAGGTGGAGGAGGGGATGGAGGGCGAATTGGTTGCTATGGTGGTGGCGGTACTGGTGGTGGTGATGGCGGTGGAAGGAGGTTGGGATTGCACGGAAAGACCCCCGATAGATAACGTGTCTGAGAAATCGTCTAAGTCACTGACATCCGTCCCTGCTTCACTGCACGGCTGGTTCGTGCTGCAGCTTCCAGGAAACGTCCGGGAAGACCCAGAAGCTGATGTTCCCCCTGCTACAGTGTTTGTGCTCCCGGGAAACAGTGAACTACTCCCGAGAATGCTCTCGTGCAGAGATGTCATGTCATGCGCCGACCTTGAAAAGTTCATTCCTGTTCCTGCACCTGTACTGCTACCTGCCCCTCCTGCTGCTCCTGCTTCTGCTCCTGTGAGGGTGTCCAAGCCCATGCCCTCGCCTCTGCCTGTGCCTCGGCTCTCAGGGGGGCTTCTATAGTCGGCAAGGCTGCCGCTTTCATTGGGTTCCACTGGGGGGGATGACTGAGAACGGGGGAGGGCGGGAGGGGGGATTGACAGAGGGACGGGAGAAGGCGTTAGATCGAGGAACGAAGGAAGGGAAGATGAGAACGAGAGGGCGGGAGTGCGTAATGGGATGACAAGAAAGACAGGGACAGGACGATTGAAGGAGAAACAGAGCCTCGACGGAAGCCTACCTCTACTCTCTGTCGGAAGGGCGACATGTCGGGAGACCACTCCCGAAGCTCATCCAGGGTCATGGACGCGGATCGCCGGTGGCTCAGCCCTAGGCGCTCTGACTTAGGACGCCGGTTCCTCTCCACCAAAGCACGCATGCCAGTGTACCACATCTCCGCCTCCTCCGTGTCCTTCCACACCTGAAGGGTTACAGAGAGACGACCAAAACGGAGAGAGGACCAACCATGCTTCAAAGGTCTAATCTGTAACTTCATTTCCTCTCCACCAGAGCACACAGGCCGGTGTACCACATTTCTGCCTCCTCCATGTCCTTCCATACCTGCAGGGGAAACGGATAGAGGATTTACGAGTCTCAAACAAATGATTGGTGTTGTCATTTCCTCTCCGCCTCCCCCTTGTCCTTCCACACCTGCAGGACACCTTACAAGTCTCCCCACCAGAACATGCAAGCCAGCGCACCACATCCCTTGAGAAGCAGAACGTTCCAGACAATTTGAACATGGAAAGAATCGTAAGGCAAGCGCAGAGGCAAGTATGAATTTCACTGTGCTTGCGTAGTACGTACCACGTCGAGTGGTCGCTCTCCCTCGCCGAAGATGAGGGAGAAGGATTGGTTGTCCTTGTCGCTTCTGGACGACCGAGCGAAGCTGCCCTGGTGCACAAAGAACCCACAGGGAAGGAACCAGCATCCACAGGCAAACGCGTGAGCGCGCGGCAGGTTCGAGGAGCCTATCCCGACAAAAACGCGCGCGCCGAAGCTATAACGTCCGTAAAGCTGAATTATAATGTGAAATCCGTACCGTTCGCTGGCCCCAGAGAATCTGACTGACGTTGGCCAGAGGGAACGTTTTCTCACGGTCGCCGGAAATGTATACGAGATCGCACTCGTCCTGCGTTGGCGGGAATAGCGAGGCCATGTCAGGCAAACCTTCAAGAAGCGAGTCTCCAGGAGGAAAAACGAGCTATGATACATGTGAGCGGAGCGAATGTTACCGTTGTGACCCGAAGGTAGCAGGCACGCGGCCTGCCAAGCCGGGAGTATTTCAACAGCCGACTCCCTTTTTTCATAGCGATAATTGCCTGCGCGTAGGTTGGGAGACAACCGGTCTGATTGTAAGGCTTCCATTTCTCATGACATACAAGAAGTGTCCAATAGAAGACGGAGGCAAACAGCCTGTATCCGTCGTTTTTACCGCGTCGCTGACCTGTTCAGTCTCCCTGTCTGATACAGGACGCATAGTGGTGTCTGCGAAGCGAGGTGCTCCGTAAACTTTAGCTGACTTCATCACGTCTGACGAGTGTTCCGCTATCAAATAAATAAATAATTTAATAGCCTTGAAGGCAAAGGGACTCAAGTAGTGTAATCATCGCTCGTATTTGCTGGAAGAATGCCGAATCTTAGGGAGTGAAATGCCACAAGCACTGTACCCTTAGTCAAACAAGCTAATGATTCTCTTGTCCAGCATGGAACTAAAGATGGCAAATGGAGCTCTCCTTTATCCACCACAATATGCTATTGACTCGACGTGAGCAACGAGCGACTCGCCTTGACCTATCCTGGCATCGGTGGAGGTGACAAACGAACGGATTACTAGCAAAAAGCTGTGCCTGCTGATGGAATCTGTGTGAACGTGACGGGGAACCAAGGTGATGGGGGATCATCACGAAGTACAATCGGAAGTGCAGTCGTTTGTCCAAGCTGTAATCCCAAAGTCGTTCATCTTTGGTGAGCCAAATATGCTTTCTTCAGCCAAATGGAGTCCCCTAGGTCAATTCGTCTGTCCCTTGCCTCCGTGTCTTTTGTAACTTTGCCAGGAAATTTGCCAATCAATGCAGTAACAGCGGTTTGGGTGACGCAGAAAAGAAAATAGGAAACAGACAGGCCACGAAGGAAGACGCCGCTGAAACTGGCGGTCATAGCACGGAAGATTCGTGATCCCACAAGGTGAGTGGCTGCGAAATGTTAACGACATGTAAGCAGACCTACGAGTGGTTGCGATGGCGCACACGTTCCAAGTAACGATGCTTAAGTGCGATTCATTGGTGGCGATTCCACGTGGCTACAGCTAACGGTGCCAGTTGCTCGCTGCATTCTATGGTTGGCGAATTCCGCTGCTTTCAGAATTGCGACTGCGTGGTGGTAACCGATGTACTTCCATACGTTCAGAGTGCCTGGACCTGGACTGGACTGGAACCACACCAGCAGAACCGCCTGGAACACGGCAGATCAGCATGAACCCGACCTGTACCAGGGAATGAACCCCCCTAGGCAGAACCTCGTCCCCACCCCACGGCAAATCACACCCAACCCCAAACCATCCTCCGTATGAAGACTCCCATGTAGGATGTTCTCAAGTCAAAATCAAACGGAATCAACTATGATATTCTCAGACTAGATGCACATTTGATGCTGTATATCCCAATATATCCCATTAGAGGCGAATATACATAAGAGCGCTTTTCTTCTGAAATAACTAATATGCCGCAGTAGAGATTCAATATATGCATTTCCTCAAATCTTAGATCCCTCTCACTTAACCAATTCGTTTATAAGTGGTAGAAGACATCAAATATAACCGAATACTGATCCAACAGTTGATAATGTTTCTGTTCCAATTATATTGGTGGTGGTTGGATAAAAATACTCTAATGTTGGATCTTAGTAATGCTCACCTTCCCATGTAATATTAGTAGCAGCTTGGAACGAAGCTGATAATGACTGACAGCTTTCCATCCCATAACTCATTCACGAGTCACAACCCTTTCTTTCAGCTTCCATCATCGCACCGTTTTCCCCGTAGCGCGCAGCGTTTACACCACTATCAGGAGCAACGGTACGGGCTGGAGGTTGTTATATCTTGTTGGGCGTAACCGCTTGTCGCATACCGCCAGCGATAGCAACGAATCATGGCTTCAGAGGATGACGTCATGGATGAGCATAATGAACGCGAGAGCGTTCCGGCTCAAGCAGAACCCGTCACGGAAGGCGCGCAAGATCGTGACGCGGATGGCGATCCGTTAGCGACGGAAACGGGAAATTTAGACGCTGACCAATCAGCGGGTGAAGTTAACGCTTCTGGAGAAGGATCTGAAGGGAAAGTCGCTGACAACATAACAGATGCCAGTGCAGAGAACGATGATGATGTTGGTGGAGTTGATACCAGGGGAGCTGATAACGAAGATGCTAATAACGGTGTCAACGGTGCGGCTGAAGGCGATGAAGTCAATGCTAGGTCAGCGGAAGCGGAAGCCGGAAACGGAGCAGCTAATACCGAAACCGGATCGGATATCGAGGCGGAGAAGCACAGTGAAGCAGATGGCAACCAGATGAACGGTCTTGCAACGGATGGAGAAGAGACTAAGGTGACGCAAGAAGATTCAGACAAGGAACCAGATGGTGAAGCGAAGGGCACGGATGCTGAAGCGACGGAAGCGGGTGGTGAAGCGGCGGCCAACGTGGTCAACGGGGTTGAAGGGGTCAACGGGGTCAACGGTGTCGCGATGACGAAAAAGGAGAAGGAAGTGGAGAAGCGAAGGCGGCGAAAGAAACAGAAGAAGAAATCTAAGGCAGCGAACAAGGGAACGGTGAAGGAGGAGGAGGAAGAGGCCGAGGACGAGAAGCCCAAGGCGGTAGGCTCTTCCATCTAGGGTTCCTGTTTTGGGCTTTCATATGGGGTTTCAGTCTCGGGTTTCTGTCTTAGAATTCATTCAAAGTTCTCATCTAGGGTTTGCCGCAAACACTCCGTTTTTCTCACTTGAGATATGCGTCTGCCTTTTCAGGTGCAGGCGTAGTATGTTACAGAAATCTTGCATTTTCACTGGACATCCCTTGGGAATTCCGTTTTTTCTTTCAGGTGCTGGCGGGGGTGCAAGTGGAGTACGTTACAGAGAAGCCGGAGATTGAGGGAGAAGGATTCGAGGATTTCCTGAAGATTTTTGAGAAATTCGCAACTGTGGAAGAGCCTAAGGTAAGCAGATCTTCGAGAGATTCACACTGCATAAGGGCTTAAGGTAGTTAAGAGGTTAGAAGAAGCTGACAAGCATCTTGTGCATGTGTTTCTGCATGCCATTTTTTCTCTCGAATTCTTTTCTGAACAGGAGGAAGAGAAAGAGGATGAGGACAAGGGAGAGAAGAAGAAAAAGGCAGATTCGGATGATGAGGACGATGATGAGGAGGAGGAGGACAAGGAGAAGGGCGTGAGCAACAAGGAGAGGAAGGTGGGAAGTTCATGCTCATGCTCATGCTCATGCTCATGCTTATGCTCACGCTCACGCTCATGCTTACCTGATGCTGATGCTTGCCCCTATTGGGATGCGTTCACGTGCCTGTGACTACCAGTCATGATGTTTGTCATTCTCGTCCCATGCCGTTATGTGCGTTTCTATGCCACATGCTACCCTATGCCATGCGTCACATACCCTGCACACACCATTGAATAAAGATTGGAATGAAGCTGGGCGGGTTGAATCAGAGATACATCCCAACCCATGCCAGTTCATGCCAGCTCAAGCCGTGTGACGTCACGTCCCACCCATGCCATCCCATGCCATGCACACCCCATGCCATCAGATGAAGAACAGAATGAAGGTGGGCGAGCTGAAGCAGATCTGTGCGCGCCCAGAAGTCGTGGAGGTATGTCTTCTCCCAGCCACATCCCATGTCATGGTGTCATGTGGCCACGACGCCACCATGTAATGATGTCAGGTTGTCTTGTTGTCCCCATGTCACCCATTGAACTGATTGTGGTTTCCACATTTGTGGGAGCATCGGATCCTCGGTTACTCTGCGCCACAAGGCTTATCTTCAGCAGTTCTTTATCATACGTGCTGCGTTCCTTCTACGTCTCCTCGTTCATCCTCCTTCCCTCCCCACCACCCCACCTCCCTTCTCTCCCTCCCCTGCTTAGGTGTGGGACCCCACAGCATCGGACCCTCGCCTGCGTGTGTACCCCAAGGCGTGTTGCAACATCATGCTCATGCCTCGTCTCCACCCTCTCGTCCCTCCTCCCCTTCCCCCATCTCGTCCCTCTCCCCCCTCTCCCTCTCACTACCACAGGTGTGGGACCCCACAGCATCGGACCCTCGCCTGCTCGTGTTCCTCAAGGCATATCGCAACACTGTCCCCGTGCCACGCCACTGGTCGCAGAAACGCAAATACCTCCAGGTGATGCCACCCACCCTTAAGGTCATGCCGCCCGCCCACCCTTTGGGTGGTGCCGTGCCGGCCACTCAGTGCCGCCCACCCGCCTCTCATTATGTCAGAACAGAACCCCCATATGCATGCAAGCGGTACGTGCTAGCTAGCGCGACACGGTCGCAGGTCCTGCCTCGTGGGTCTTATTTCTCCCTTCGGCTGCTGCAGGGTCCCTGTCCCTGCCCTGCTGCACGTCCTGCTGCTGCGAGCTGCTGACCTGGACCGACGATTGCTTCCTTCTGCAATTCAAATTCTGTGCGGTGGTTTAGGGAATCTGATGGGATTCGACGGTGAGAATGGGGAGAGAGAGAGCTTGTGACGCGATACAGGATAGTGCCTCCATTCTGTCACCACGTCCATTTCTACTCTTGTCTCGCATCCCCTACTTGTTCGTTTATGTATCCCAATACAATATTTCCCTTTCCCCTGATCACTTGTTTGCTGGGGTTTTCCCACCCAGCAGTAGCGTAGGTTCCACTGATGTGCATTTGACTGCGTACTTCCTCTCTTTCACTTGGCAGATTCGGGGTGAACCGTTCCAGCAGAGAGATTGGTTGGAAAGGCCCGTGTTGGGGTTTTTGAGAGACAAGACACACTCTTTCTCCCCTCCATTTTGCATTTCGTCAACCACCCTTATCTTTTTTTTTGGCGCATTTTGACATGGCCACTGCCCCTCGTTTTTGAGGCGCCTAAAAAATCACCCTTTTGACATGGCCACTGCCCCTTGTCTTGAATCAAGCAAATACTAACGTTTTCCTTTCTTCCTTGTTTCCTCCCCTCCTCTCCCATCTTCCCCTCCCTTTCTCTTCCTCCTCCTCCTATTCCCCCCTCACATCGCCTATCCCTCCTCCTCCTGCGGATCACCTGCCGCTACTTCCGCCCCACACCTTTCTCCCTCCTCCCGTCACCTCTTATCCTGGCCTCGCCCCACCTACTCTCTCCTACACCTCCCTTCCTACCTTCTCTTCACTCCCCCTCTCCTCCACTCCCTCCTCGCATCCTCGTCCGTCTGTGCTTCTCTTATCCTCTCTCGTTCTCCCGCCCGCCACTCTTCTGCTCTCATGCGTGGTCCATTTGCAGGGCAAGAGGGGT